AAAAAAATTGCGATGACGTCATCAACATTTTTTCAAGGACACGTATATCAGTTGGGATAGATGTAGTGTAATACTAAGAATAAAATTATTATATTCTCAAATTTTCGGGAAAATGAATTGGGTCGTTTTGAATATTGATTTGTAATAATCAATAAAATAACGAAACAATTTACTCACGTATACGTATCAGAAGCAACTGAAAATCGTGTGTATAAACATTCTTAATTTAAGATGACAGGCGTAACAGCATACGCGAGAGTCAAACAGAGAAACTGTAAACAAAACGACCATCGGTTTTATTGCTTCGACTTCCGCTTATTATATAAAACATTGGGTTTTATTTTAATTCTTGACGGTGAAATTCACAATTGGTTGATTATAAACATGTCTATTTCACATTCGCGGAACCAAGTGAGCGCATAAAACGAATGCAGGTCTGTAATGTTAAAGTCGATGTAAATAAGCGTGCTACCCTTATGTTTCAACCGAGTTTTTCCTTTAACAAATTTTGTGTCTACCAAATTGGGTTGGTTGGGGTGTAATACTAATAATAAGTGTTGCCTTTAATTTAATCAATAAAATAAATTGACTTCATTAATTTTTTTGAACCACCTCTTAAGAAAATCTAAAAAATATGAATGGAATGATAAATCACAAGTACAAACTCATCATATTTTTTGCATTTTAGATAGGATTTATTCAGCAAAATTTAAGGGTGACGTCATCAATTTTTTTAGGAGGGATGAACAAATACATTTTGAACAAAAGTTTACCATGCTTATAATAACTTTAAAATATTCCCAAGATTTCAAAGCATTCGGTTTTGTAATTCCTGATTAAATCGATAAAATAAATTCACGCCTTCATTAATTTTTTTGAGTCACCCTGCATATGCAAATCCAAAAATATGAATGGAATGATAAATCACAAGTACAGACTCATCATATTTTGTACATTTTAGATACGATTTATTCGGCAAACTTTTGAGCTGACGTCATCAGTTTTTTGTAGAAGATAACCAAATATATTTTGACTAAAAATTTATTATGCTCTTTATAACCTTAAAACATCTGCAAGATTTCAAAGCATTCGGTTTTGTAGTTCCTGATTAAATCAATAAAATAAATTTACGCATTCATTAATTTTTTTGAGTCACCCTGTATATGCAAATCGAAAAAATTTGAATGGAATGATAAATCACAAGAAGAGACTCACCATATTTTGTACATTTTAAATAGGATTTATTCAGCAAAATTTTGTGGTGACGTCATAAATGTTTTAGGGGGGACGACCAAATACGTTTTGATCAAAAATTTACCATGCTTATGATAATTTTAAAATATCTTCAAGATTTCGAAGCATTCGGTTTTGTAGTTCCTGAGTATATCAGTAAAATAAATTTACGCTTTCATTTATTTTCTTGAATCACCCTGTATATGCAAATCCAAAAAATATGAATGGAGTGATAGATCACAAGTACAGACTCATCATATTTTGTACATTTTAGATATGATTTATTCCACAAACTTTTGAGCTGACGTCATCAAGTTTTTGGAGGGGATAAGCAAATATTTTTTGACTAAAGATTTATTATGCTCTTTATAACCTTGAAACATCTGCAACATTTCAAAGCATTCTGGTTAGCAGATTAAAAATTAAATTTCAAAATGTTGTTTTATAATTTTGATTTTTTTTCCAAAAATCTGGACGTTTCGGGTGAAAAGTCAATTCGGAGTTGTAAACTACATGTGTGGGACTATGTTATTTTATACAATTGAAAACCCATTTACTATGTACAATTTTGAAGTGACGTCATCGCATTAGTGGTGGGGATGATTAGACAAATTTTGGTTAGCGTTTTACCATCTACATGATATTCTTAATATAAGTACAAAATTTCACAACAATCGGTCGAGTACTTTCGGAGATTATCTGTCTAATAAAAATCCGGGACGGCAGACGGACAGACGGACAGACGGACAGACGGACGGACAGACGGACGGACAGACGGACAGACAGACGGAAATGGGAGACCTATTTCTTCGTCTTCTAGGGGTCATGAAAGATCGAGAAAACGTAAAAGTAGAGAGTCGGCCGACGGACTCGATTACAATACTTCCTTTGCTTACGCTCGGGAAGTAAAAATTTCAAAAAATTCGAATTTCACACCGAATTTTCCGAAAATGTTGCTCCGTTATCATAAACATGCTGTATTTTTGGAATCAGCACGTTGGGATATATATATCTCTGAATTTTTTCAGAATTTTTAGACAACTTTCTCAAAAATGAAATTTTACACTGTGGTAGTACTTACCAAATAACCTACCCTCTAATAATATAAAAGGCGGGTGGGCCAGGCTAGTATTTGCCAAAATAAGACTCATTTCGACAAATGATCTACTCTTCTAAGAAAAGGTAGTAGCCCCGCCCACCCACCCTTCATTTTCTTAGAAGAGTCGGTCATCTGCCAAAATCAGTCTTATCTTGGCAAGTATGAGACTGATTTTTGCAAATGGCAGATCCTCTAAGAAAATAAGGGTGGGTGGGCGGGACTAGAACTCGTGAATGTAATACTGATTTTGGGAGATGACCCACTGTTCTAAGAAATTAAAGGGTGGTTGGGCGGGACTAGTACTTGCCAAGATAAGACTGATTTTGGCAGGTGATCGACTCTTCTAAAAAAACAAAGGCTGGGTGGGTGGCGTGTGGGGCTAGAACTTGCTAAAATTAAAAAAATGACAAATTGAAAAATCAGATAAATAAGAAATCGGAAAATCAAAAATTAAAGTGTCGAAAAAGTGAAAAAAAAAACCAAATCTTATAAAATCGAATTCGAAGTTCCTGTTTTCATTTTTTTTGGTTTATAAATTTTTCAACTTTTAAATATTTCGTTTGATAATTTTTTTGACAATTTTGGAGTTTTTACTTTCAATCTTTTGATTTTTCAAGGTTTAACTTTACAATTTTGGATTTTTTTGATTTTTAATTTTTCAAGTTCTCAAGTTAAAATTTTTCCTTTTCACGATTTGTCATTTTTACTAAAAGAACAAATTTATTCAAACCGAAATTTTGAAAAATCGAAAAATCCAAAAATTGAAAATTAGAAACAAAATTTTCAGATGTTTTAAAGTACGGTAAACATGGCAATCGCTGATCAAAATTACTTTTTACTCCCTTCCAAAAATTCGGTGACAAAAAATCAAAAATCGAAAATTTTAAAAATATACATCTATTTAATCGATGTTTATAAAAATCAAATATTTGAGAAATCGGAAAACGGCCACAATTGTAAAATTAAAAAATCGAAAGTTTTTTTCAGTTGCCCAGAGAAATCAAAAATCCAAAGACAGGTCAAAAAATTGAAAATTTAAAAAGCGAGAAATTGAAAAATTCGAAAGTTGAAAAATCGAAAAACTGAAAAATCTAGTAGTACTCGCTACGATAAGACTGATTTTGGCAAATGATCTACTCTCTAAGAAAACAAAGGGCTAGCACTTGTCAAATAACTTACCCGCGAAGAAAATAAAAGGCAGGTGGGCCGGGCTAGTATGACCTACTCTTCTAAGAAAATAATGGCAATTATGAGACTGATTTTTGCAAATGACATATCCTCTAAGAAAATAAGGGAGGGTAGGTGGGGCTAGTACTTGTTAAAATAAGACTGATTTTGGCAGATGACCCACTCTTCTAAGAAAATAAAGGGTGGGTGGGAGGGCTGGTACCTTTTCTTAGATGAGTAGGTCATTTACTCATTTGCATTTTTTATTTTCTTAGAAGGTTGCAGAAGTCACTTTCGGCCTCATTTCTTCGATAACTTCAACCTTTTTTCCAGAATTACTCAATTAATCCAGTGCATTGAAATAACACAATTTTTAAAAATTTCAAAAAATCCAATACAACATGTACAGAAAGATCTTGCGTCATTTTTGCAAGTAGGTGCATGTTTTCAAGTTCGGATTGCAGAGTTTTTGTTCGGATTAAAGATATCAGCTAGCCTCTGTTCGGATTAGTGGATGTTCGGATAATCGTGGGTTCGGATTATAGAGGTTAGACTGTATGTTTGAGAAAAAGATTATTCTGTCTGTGTGCCGGATATTTCTCGCTTATGTAACGTCTATTACTGATTTTTCATTGTAAAATTTTAGAAATACCTAATTGGTAGACTAACAATGGGTCGAAGGATGCCGAGAAGGAAAAACCCAGTTTAATATCTGTTCTCTTAATGGTACCATCGCACCTTGAACAACAATTAATTACATGCTTGAAGAATAACGATGCTTTCGAATTTGATAATAGTTTGAAAGTACCCGTTTTAATTTGTCCCGTTACTTTGTTTTGTGCGTGTTAAATGAATTATTCGAAGTGACGTGAATCCTGCAAGGTTATTGAACAAATCTTCGGAGAAAACTGGGAAGTACGAGACACCAGGTACGTATTCGGAGAACTTGGCACTGATTAATTTTGCATTCGTTGCGTAGTAAACATTTCAAATTGTGTAACATAAAACCCCGTCTCACCTAAGATTGGTATTCGTTGTCCTAAAATCAAGTGGCACAGACAGACGCAAACGGAAACCTACTTTTCCATATTCTAGAATTCAAAAGTTTTTCCTCTGTATATATTTTTTATATAAATAAATAAAACTACTCCACTAACAAAGTTCTTTAATTTCTGCTTCATACACACTCCACAGTTTCTTACAATTTAACACTCGTCTTTAGGGACGCATTTCCCTTGCTTCCTCAAAAATCCCCCATTGCAGAAGCATCCTACTATGCATTCGTCTGTGCAATAAGGCCCCGGGTTTTTATTTGCACATGTCGGATAACAAGATGGGCCACAGGTTGCGTAAATTTCGTTTGGTCCGCACTTGGCTGCAAAATAACGTAGGTGTAGGGTAAATATTTATTGCTCTAGTGTGGAAAACTAAGACTTACGTTTGGAAAGAGTGCTCGTCACCATTAGAACTAGAATAAGTAGGCAACTAGTGGAAGGTTTCATCTTGTTGTGTTGACGTGTGTTGTTACTCGAATACGTACCAATGTTATTGTTTTCTACATTGAAATCTATTTATATCACAGCTGCATGCAGATAAAGACGGTACTTTACAGTTAAAGCGCTTGAAACCGGTTTTACAAAGTTTGTTTTGTCTGTTAAAGTGTTAAAAAAACAGTTGGAGAGGTTTAGTTGCTATAAAAAGTAACAGTATTAAACAAGTGTACTTTTTTTTTCTATAACCTACCTTTAATTAGTGGTGTTTTTCCTTTTCTGTCTTGCTTAAACTATTGTTACTATTTCAAACATCCACCCCTGCGTCAATTAACAACTGCATTACATCTTCATTGTCATACTCCGCCCTCAGTGCATAATCCATCGCATCGTTGTCACACTCATCCAGAACATTTACCAAAGAACCACACTCCAGTAACTTCTTGGCAATTTCATAATTACAACATTCGCACGCAAATTGTAAAGCTGTTGCACCATTTTTATTTCGGGCATTTACGTCAACGCCCGCCTGAATCAACAACTCTACTACATCCACACTATCCCTCCGCGATTTCGCCACATGATGCAACGCGTTGTTGCCCTTGTCATCCATCAAATCTACGCAAGCACCACACTGGAGCAACTTTTCCGCATTGGTGTAATTATTCTGTTGACACGCTAGCTGCAAAGCTGTCGTCCCGTTTCTATTTTGAGAATCGACACTCAGAAATTTCTCGGCCAATAATTTTATTATATCTGCGTTGTAGTGCTCGGACTTTGATGCGTAGTGTAAAGCATTATTGTAGTTGTTGTCCAAAAGATTGACAGACGCATCGCAGCTTAATAAATATTCAGCAATGTGATAATTGCAGTTTCGACAAGCAACTTGTAGAGCTGTTGTTCCATGAATGTTTCTGCTATTTATATCAAGGCCTTCACCAATCAATAACCTTACGATATTTTGATTATTTTTCCACGATCTTGACATATAATGTAAGGCAGTGTTGTTGTTGTCGTCCAAAATTTTGACACAAGCGTGGTTTTCCACCAGTTTTTGTGCAACTTCATAGTCACTATTTTCGCATGCCAGGTGTAACGCTGTTGTTCCGTTTCCGTTTTGAGCATTCACATCAATGCCTCTATTGATCAATAATTTTATTACGTCTTTGTTGCATTTCCAGGACACGGCAGCGTAATGCAGTGAGTTGTCATTGACGTCGTCGACGACATCTATGGAAGCATTACAATCTAACAGTTCCTTTACAGCTTCGTAGTCGCCAAATTTGGACGCAAGTTGTAACGGTGAAGTCCCATTTTTGTTTTGACCATTTACATAGATGCCGTTGTCAATTAGTAATTTTATTAGATGAAGACGGTTCTGTCGTGACTTGAATACGTAATGTAGTGCGTTATTACACTCGTTATCCACAAGATTTATGTCACTATCATTCTCTAACAACATTTTTGCAATACCAGAATTACCATTCTCGCAAGCAAGCTGTAACGCCGTTGTTCCATTTCTGTTTTGAACATTGACATTAACACGTTTATGAATCAATAGCTTTGTTATATTTAATTTGTCACTAGTTGACAAAGATGCATAGTGTAGCGCACTGTTGTTGTCTTCGTCTACTACATCTACGCAAGCGTTACACTCTAAGAGCACTTCCGTATTCCAAAAATTGCATTGCTTGCAAGCTAGATGTAGAGGTGTCAACCCATTTTTATTTTGAACATTAACATCCACATCTTTATCAATGAACAGTTTTATTATAGTTCGATTATCTATCCACAACATTGATGCAAAATGCAGAGCGTTGTTGCCATGTGGATCCACAATATCTGCTTCAGCTCCTCTCTTCATCAATATTTCTACTACTTCCAAAAAACCAAATTCAGCCGCAATTTGAAGTGCAGTTAGACCTTCGTCGTTTTTAAGATTCACATCCACGTCAATTTTATAGTTTTCTAAAATAGATAGTTTATTGTCACTCTTTGGTCCTAGTTTGGCCAATCGATGCCAGACGGTGTTGCCACCAGTGTACTTGGCTCCTTTTTGTGTTAATATGCTCAACATATCGTACTTGTTTTCATCGCATGCTACGTCCAAAATATTACCACGAAGTGTGTCATAACCATCTTTGGTTAGGTCGAAACCATTTTCTAGTATTATATTGACAACGGCGATGTTACCTTCTCTTGGAGACGTTACACTGTCATCTGTTCCTTTGACGGCTATTTGTAGTAAATTGTCGTTGTCTACTTTCAGATGAACAAGTTGTGTGTTGTGTGCAACCAGTGCAGAAAATAAATTCGGGTAACCCATGCGTGCTGCATAATAAACCAACGTTTCGATTTTATAATAGCCAAAAACCGTTTTTTTAACATCGTCAAAATCTAGAAGATTTTTTTCTAGCATTGCCTCTATCGGATACAAACATTTTGCTTCAAGGGCGTAACTTAAGCAATCAAAGTGGAATAAATCGTCTTGGTCGTGGATTTTGGAGTATAGTTGAAGTACCTTTGCCACCATGGTTGTGTACCACTTAAATTCTTGGTTCAGTTTCACCAGTTCATTCCTGTACCAGTAACTTTTTATGTTATCAGTGGGATATTTCTTGCCGTATGTACACAACAAATGGAGTACAGTTCGACCACCATGATCTTTAGCTTCTATATCGTCGACGTGTTTTTCAAATTCGTCTAAGTTTCTGTAGATGTCGGATAGATGTAGAGGGTTGCTCTGGGCCAACATTATGTTAAACATAAGTCGTAGATTTTCATATCTTTCAAGAAGCATCTCCTTCTGTAACAAAGCAGCTTTTTCTTTATTTCTTTGTAACCAAACACACGCAAAATATTCTGCGTACGTCTGATGGCTAAATATAGCATCCCCATTGTCATTTATTATCTCTATTATTCCATATTTATCGCCACTGCGCTTAATTTCACTGACAAAATCTTCCATTTCTTCTGAAAGTAGACCCAATTTGACAAAATCCTTCGTGTTTAAGCATGCCTTCAAAGCAGGAATTTCATAATTCTTTAAGAGAACTTTAAAATTTCCAAGTTGATGTGTGTGGTGTTCGTCGACGACTTTACTTAAAGCAAACTTCACTTTTCCCTCAAAGTACAATTTATACATATACGTCAACACAAACATGTTCTTTTGGTCGGCGTTGTCAGTTTCGTCATTAGTCAGAAACATTTCTGTAATTATGTGCAACTGTAACGGAATTCCTAATAATTCTTGACTTTTGTTAAGATCTACATTGTCAAGAATTGAGCCCATAATTCTTTCTATGTCTTCGTTTCCGTACTTCCGTTTCAGTTTTTCGCAAATGTACTCTTCACGTTGACTTTTATTCAGTTTTGTTATTTCTATAGGTATTACGTTTAATGATTGCGTTATTCTATCACGCAGATTCTCCCTTGACGAAATCCATATCTTCGTACCACTTGAGGATGCGTCTTGGACGAAGTCCAAGACACTATTTACGTAACTGCTGTCGACTTCGTCTAGCCCGTCAAAATACAAATATAGTTTTCGGTTGTTGCGTAAAATGGGCAACATTTTTTTAACAACGTTGTCGTCTGTTTCTAGTAGCTAATTCCAGATTGTTTCCAAGTTTGGTTTCTTCGCCAGGAACGAATTATGGTTGATCAGATTGATGTAAATCCCCCAGTGATCTGGAGGGCAGTCGTTACATAAAACGTCCATTAATCTCGATTTACACATTCCAGCTGGAGCATAAATTACGTTTAATGAGTTGTGAAGACAACGAAGAATGTCGTCTTCTGGTATAAGCCTCCTTTTATTTACAAACTCTTCTGGTAGTTCGTTCCCTTGCTTTAAAAGCAAGACGCAATTTTCATCATCGAAAGTTTGAAAAAGGTACACGTTGGTTTTGTCAGTTTTTTCGCAAATTTGGTTAAAATCAACTCGTGTACATTCAGTTTTTGAAGACAATAAAACAGTGTGTTTGCTGTCATTGAATTCTCTGTTGATGTAGTCAGATGTTTCAATATACGCCAAGTTTCTATATCTCCTTGTGAATTTATCGTCACAATTGATTATTGCCATTGTTTGGTTTCCTTGTGACTTGCACAGACTGAGAATTGTTTCTGTTTTCACAAAAATGGTGGACACACTTCTTGGTTTGTGCAAACTAGGCAATGGTGTTCTCTTCGTCCCAATTAGATATTGTCTTTGAGACATTGTCAAGAGTTCAGAAACACCAACAAGTTCCGCTAATTCTGTGTCAATATTGATAAAACGTTGCAAAGAAATGGGTTTTCTTCCTTGCAAAGAAATCTCAAAGGTATGTAAAATATCACTACAATATTTCTTCTGTGCGGATTTATTTATCAGGTCGGATAAATTCTGGAAGCCCCCGAAACCTCTTGTAGTATTTCTTATCAAAATAACCCTTTTGTTGTCACTGGTTTTACCTAGTAGCTTCAAAACGCAATCCACCAGGGCAGGGGCGGACTGGTACTTTAAAAGTGGCCCGGGCAAAAGATTTAACCGGCCCTGGAGGCGACCCTCATTTACTACTTATAGTAAATTTTTTCTGTGATGTTTTGTAAAATCAACAATTTTACAAAATATGTATCACAATTATCTATTAATTAATCAGTTTAAAATAACTAATTTTATTTAGAAATACGCTCAGGAAGTAAAAAGCTGTAGCAATTTTATTATTTATATGCATTATACCTATATTATACAGATTATTTTAATAATTTGGCCATAACGGCACTTTGACCCGACAGTGTATCTATAACAATATTACAGTCAATGTCAGCTAACATGATACTTTCAACAAACATCATTGTAAATGCTTCCAAATGATCATCTGTCAAACTATTTCGTAATCTGTTCTTGACAATTTTAAACTTCGAAAAACTCCTTTCACAACCAGCAGACGAAATAGATAAAGTTAATAAAAATTTATACACAAGAAAAAGATTTTCATAAGCACTTGAATAAAGATCGTGTTTTATTAAAAATGTATATGACAACACAAAGCACACTGTTTGCAGGATTTGCAGGGTTTTTGGTTACCACAATCGTCACTAAAAGTTGGCTCTTCCTATACTGTTTGTTTTAATTGATCCCATTTTGTAGCAAAATCTAAAAGTTCTTCTCGTATTTGAGACGGTGTAATTTCGGCATTAAATTTTATTAAAATATTGCATAGTGGAACAAATAAATCTGAATTTAGGGTTTCAGAACTCATATTGTTGAATTGTCGTGGATTAAATACAGCAAGCGTAGTATAAATTTTTTCGTTTTTAATAAATCTTGTACTAAAACTTTGCACAATAACGTCCATAACTACATTGTATACATCAATTTTATATTTTTCATAGGGGTTATCAATGCTATACTCTGAAGTTTTTTCACCCGACAACATTTTTTTTTACGAATTCGCAGAATATCTAATTGCGAATTGATTACCGTAGACGCGTCGTTTTCATTTCCCAATTCATTATTTGCCCATTCTATAAATTTAAATGATCAAAATCTCTGGAGATTGCAGTTAAAGAATTTTTTGTTTCAGTAATGATTGTTTGCGCTGTAGTTAGGTCTAGTCCAGATGTTTGCAAATATTTTGATGTAGGTGAAGTATGCTGAAAAATTCTAAAATACATGTTGGCGGTTAAAATAGTTTCATATTTTGAAAGTGAATTTAAGTAGGAAGTTGCTTTATATCGTGTGTCAGAACTTAAAATTTCTGATTTTGATATACCTTCAAGAACCTCTATAATTGTAACAAAAAGGGTATCACTTGGGTCACCATAACTTTCAAAAAATTTTTAACACTGCATTCAATTTAGAATCCCACCTTGTTTCTCCAATTGTACTTAAAACTTTTCGAGAAGACTCTTTCCAAATGTTCATTCTAGTGTGAGATTCTTTAAAGAAAACAGCAATACTATTTAACAAACCAAATAAAGATGTACACTGATGTGGTTTTTGTGTAATATCTGTTATTACTAAGTTTAAAATATGAGCATAGCACCAGAGATGTATGTGTTCGGGATTAGAAGTAGCCATCCAAGAACTGAAACCATTATATTGCCCTTGCATATTTGCAGCACCATCGGTGCTACTACCTACACAATATTTTAAATTGATATTATTGTCGGCCAACACTTGCTATTAACTCATAAAGAGTTAATAGCCTTTTGTAGAACTTGTACTTTTTAATGCAAGCAATGTTTCATGCACAGATTCATCATCTACATATCTAATAATAATAGAAGCTTGATCTGTAACTGTAATGTCTTGTGTTGTATCAATTTGAATTGAATACATTCCGATATTGGTAATTTTTTCTGAAATCTTACGCGTTATTAAATTTTTGATAATATTTACAATGGAATTTATAGTTGTTTTGGACAAAAAAGACACAATATTACCCCTACCTTTCTTGCCATGTGTATATCGCTTTTGCTTTTCTAAAATAACACGATTAATATGTGAATTTAATAAGGAGTCAAATTTTTTTAGCAGTAAAATAAGTTCTAAAAAGTTACCATGATTAATTTTTGAATTGGCCAAAGAAAGAATATCCTCATCTCTGTGACCTCTGTAAGCAATACCACATTTACCAATTACTTTTATTACTTCTATAATTCGCAGTAAAATATCTCTTCTATTCTGAACTTGACTTAAACGAATATTTTCTTGTTTTGGTATGTAAGACAGTATATTTAATTTTTTCAATTGCATCAAATGTGCTTCAGCAGAATTTTTGTGACTTTGACTTTTTTCATGCTCATCCACTCTACTGTAAATATGTTTAGGATGAATACTTTTTACACCACTTTTAAATATACTAGATTCTTTGCTGTAAACCATACAAACTGTACAAAATAAAGTTTTTGAGTGTTCATTATAAGTTAACCAAGTACGCCGCACCCCACTTTTCCTGCGAAACAGTGTAATCGGATTGAATGGTAAATCTTTTACATCGCATGGTTGAATTTGATGAAATCAATATCAATGTCACTTGTTGCTGGGATAGAAAAAAAAAATATTACTTTCGATGGGTGGCAGAAACTCTTGTTCTAATACTTTTTGTTGTGAAGAAACATCTTCCAGATTCGTTGAAGTGGTCGGTTGCTTAATCCAAGTTGCACCGCTTCAACAGTTTCAATAGGAGTAGTGCTTGTAGATTGTGCAGGTTGACTGTCACCCTCAACATTTTCTTTACGCAATTTAATAAATGAAGACATGGACTGGTAAAACTTGGCTTGTTCCTCCAAAGCTTTTTTCTTCTTTTCGCGTAATTTTTCCGCACCGCCTTAAATCGCTTTTCTTTTAACATCCTTCCCACTTGTGCTTGGTTTGTCCATTTCGATAAACTAGTTTTGAAAAAGCCATAATGCAAATACTATTTTTACAGATAAAAAAAAGTAATTTACCTTACAGTGATGATTATAAATTGTGACTTAATGGAAACCTCACGATCTACGTACACCCTCAATGGTTAAGCAGAGACATAAGACTGATTTTTAGAGGAAGATAAGTTTTCGATTATGCCGACTGTATATTTTGTTAAGCATTAATTAAAAGAGTGTGAAAATAGTACGTGCTTAATTGCCTAAACGTGCCTGTTGCATTTCTTGCTTTGTTAATGTTATTTAAACTCCATACATATTTCGTCGGCGATGGCGCCAACATTGTTAAACAAAATTTAAAAGTTTGATTTTGAGAAGTGTTTGATATTGTCTATTCAGCGTAACCGGCCTACCGACCCATCAGTTCGACGGCCCACCGGGCAAATGCCCGGTAGCCCGCCTGGCCAGTCCGCCCCTGCACCAGGGTTTCATTTGAAACATCGACTTTTACAACTAAAGGAACTTGTTCCAAGTACCACAAAATTTTCCCATACTCGTACGACTTTAGGCAAAATTTTTGCTTGGTTTTACCAAATTCGTCATCTGTAATCGTTTCCAGAGACCAAATATATTCAACAATATTGTCGCCAGTTTCTTCCACTATCGTGACTCGAAAATCCATTATAGCTTCTGTGAGGAATTCCGTTTTTGGATTTCGTTTATTGTCAGTCAGAGTTCTGATGTAGGGTGAAAGAGCCAGCTCACTCAGTTTGGCAACTACGTCACCTTTCCATAAGACGAAATTTTTGGACCACCATTCAGTCATAAAGTGGACAAAAGAGTCATAAATATTGCATTGTACTATACCTTGCAGCATTTTTTCGACCTGTGTTTTAGTGTGGTGTATGTTATTTTGCCCAGTGAATAGATAAAATGTTTGTTTTTTGTCAGCTACCTCCCGTATGACTTGGAACACCCTAGATTTTTTTCTCTCCCTGTGTTTAATAGTAAATCTTCATTTTCTAAATTATAGCATCTTTTGAGATTAATCTGTTCGCTTAGTTCGACGCCTTCTGTAAAATACGTACGTGAGTTTGTGTACAGGATGCAGACAACATCTTCTGTTATTTCTACATCTGAAGACATAGAATTAAAGTATTTTTCGACGTTGAAATCGGCTTTTGGATTTCCTGTGTTTAAATCGTTATATCTAATTCGTTTGGCCGCTTCTTTGTGTTTAAGTTGAAACAAGTAAGTCAGCGTTTTTTGGTTTTTGAATGTAATTTTTACTTCTATGTCGTCAAATAGTCCGCATTTTTGGTTGTTTGTGGTCATTTCAAAATCTTCAACTCTATCACAAGTGATTAATTTCAAAGCATAGAAGGCACACATCATTTGTTCGTATTTTTTTCCATGATCTATAGCTCCTGGTAGTTTTTTGTACGTACGAAAGCGATCCTATGCAAAAAAATAAAAATGTAACCTCTAGTTTACTATGGTATACATTAATCAAAATTTTGTAACTTGTAATATTTCAGTGATCTTAAACTACACACTTAAAGTTTCATAGGAATAAATTATAATTTTGGCTGACAAATTGATCGCCATTTTACCTGCTTTGTTAAAGAGGATGACATATCTTGATCATGTGGCGTTTCTGCTGACGTCACTCGTACTGTTGCATCTAGTTTTCGTTGTTGTCTTTGTTCTTTTCTGTTGTTCAGTTCTTCTTGTTTTTTAGTCTCTTCGTCCTCAGAACTTACGTCCATGACGTATAAATGTACTGAAAATGCAATATTCAATATGGACACACTTTGTTTGATCATTTGACGTTACAAATGGTAGCAAAAATTTATAGGTACAGATAACCTTAATCATTTTTATCTTTTAATGAAATTCGGAAAATTCCGATTCGTCTAAAAATGTTGTTTGTGTGTACACATCTAAGCTAAAGTATGGAATCTATTAATATATTAAAAAGTGCACTTACCCAAATATTTTCTTCGAAGTATTTAGTAACTCTACTGAGGGAAAATTCACTTTACCGAGGTATTTCGAGGTGATTGAGTACACAACATAGATATAATTTTTATCAACAGATAAGTTTAGCGTAGATTAGGACTTGATTCTGAGTCAACCAAATTTCTCGAAACCATCTAATACCATCAGTATTACGATTAGGTTATGAAAACATTTTTTAAGTTGGCAGAATTCTGAGAATTATATGAAATATCAAAATAAGGCAATTCTGAGCGTTCAAGAAATTTTCCATACATTGGGGAAAACTTTTAGCAATAAAGCGACGTATATCGAAAAATTAAAAAAAAACACAGAAATTGAAAAGTCGAAAAATTTAAAAAATCGGAAAATCAAGATAGCAAAAAATTGAAAAATAGAGATTTTGAAGAATTGCAAAATCTAAAACATTAAACAAATCCAAACATGAAAAACTTAAAAAAATAAAATTTGAAAATCTAAAATTTACAAATTGAGAACTTGAACAATTGGATAATTGAAAAATCGAAACATCGAAAAATTAAAAAAAATTGGAAAATGGAAAATGTAAAAATTCCGAAAATTGAAAAATTGGAATGTATATAACTCGAGAAATTGATAAACATAAAATTTAAAAAACTGAAAAGTTAAAATATCGAACAGTTGAAAAATTGAGAAATCCAAAGTTTAAAAAACGAAAAATTGAAAATCCAAAAAGGACAAAGTCGCAAAATCGAAAAGTCGAAATACTAAAATATTCCAAAAGTCAAATACCGAAAAATTGAAAAATAGGAGAAAAACTGAAGAATCGAAAAACTGCAAAATCACAAAATTCAGCGAAATATTCAAAAACTGGAAATTAAAAAATTGAAAAATTGGGAAATCAAAAAGTCAAAAAAGCAAAGTCGAAAAATCGCAAACTTAAAAAATCCAAAAATTGAAAAATCAAAAACTGAAAAATCCAAAAATTGAAGAACTGAAGAACTGAAAGATCGAAACTTTGGAAAGTCGAGAAATGGGAAAATCAAAAAATAGATTAATTCAGAAATCGTAAAACTGAAAATTCAGAAACGTCAAAATTTAAAAAATTAAAAAATATTGAAGAACTGAAAAATCAAAAAATCGAAAATTAAAACATTGAAAAATTAAAATATCGTTAAATTGAAAAATGGAGAAGTCTAAACACAAAAATTAAAAAAAATGGAAAATTGAAAAATTGGATAATTCTAAAATCGAAAAGTCGAAAAATTACATAATAGATATTTTGAAGAACTGAAAAATCGAGAAATCAAAAAATCAAAAATTTAAAACATTAAAAAATTCAAATATCGAAAAATTGTAAAATCGAGAAATCCAAACATGAAAAAATCAAAAAAATTAAAATTTGAAAATCTAAAATTTACAAATCGGGAACTTGAACAATCGAATAATTGAAAACTCGAAACGTCGAAAAATTGGAAAAACGAAAAATTAAAAAAAATTGAAAAATGGAAAATTTAAAAATCCTGAAAACTGAAAAATTGAGAAATCGAAGTATAAAATAGTTGAAACATCGAAAAATCGAAAAATCTAAAATTTAAAACATTGAAAAATTAAAATATCGTTAAATTGAAAAATGGAGAAGTCCACGAGTAAACATAAAAAAATCAAAAAATAAAAATTCAAAAATCTAAAATTCAAAAATCGAAAAACTGAAAAATAAACAAATCGAGAAATCGAAATAATCAAATCTTGTTAAATCGAGATCTCAAATAATTGAAAACTCGAAAATGGAAAAATTAAAATATAGAAGAACTATCCTAGAATTTTTAAAATTGAAAAATTGAGGAATCGAAGTATGAAACAGACTGAGTTGTAAAATCGAAAGATTAACGAAAAATTGAAAATCCGAAAAGTAACGGAAAATCAAAAAATCCAGGAGTCCAAAAATCGAAAAGTGGAAAAATCGGAATATAGCAACATCCCAAGAAGAAATATCCAAAAAATTAAGGAATTAAAAATTGGAAAATTGAGAAATCAAAAACCAAAAAAGCACAGTCGAAAAATCGTAAGCTTAATAAATCGAAAAATTGAAGAATTGAAAAATTGAAATACATATTTAGAAATCGTAAATTGAAGACTACAAAAATTGAGAAGTGGGATCATTGAAAAACTGAAAAACTGAGCAATCGAAAAAAAAATCGATGAATCGAAAATTTGAAGAATGGAAAAATTGAAAAAGTCCAAAGTTGAAAAATCGAGAAATCAAAAAGTCGAAAAATCTTAATAGCGTTTTTATAAACCACAAGTTCAGGACTATGCTACTTTTTAACATTTAAATAACATTTACTCGGCAAAATTGTATGATGACACATCAACTCCTGGGGGGCATTAACGGATAAATTTTGACTAATGGTTTAACATGCTTCCAATAACTACAACACGGATTCATAAATCGTAAACAGAGGATATAAAATTTAAATTACATTTGCTATTGTAAAATTTCGACATTACGTCATTTCATTGTTGGTGACAAATTTTGGTGAGCGTTTTACCATTTGATAATATAATTTGAAATGTAAATTTTGTCATTCCAGAACATTATGTATTAAATTGTTAAGATGTTCAAGAACTTTGTTCACTTATTCGTAATAAACTCCGACCAGATGGTCGAAACGGGTTAGTTCTTCATAGTGGATGTGTATCAGATCAGCTCTAACGAAAGTCGGCTTATAGATAAATCGCTTAGAGACGAAATTGACCTCAGGAGAAAATTACCTACTTTTTATTATATTTAATAAACCTTGAAAATTTTTAAGTAACAACGGACAACAAAAAATCTGGACAATTGGACGCCACTGAAGTCAAATTATATTCAAAATCCAACACTGACTTACATCTTTCAAACTAAACAAAAAGAAGCGACCAAACCAATTAGTGTTAACTAATTATATACGGGGAAATAAAAACAGAATTCCTCAGGGAAGCTATAATGGATTTCCTAACCATAATATTTGAAGAAACTGGCGACGATATTGTTGAACATGTTTGGTCTCTGGAAAGAATTACTTAAAAAATTGAAAGCTAGTAGTTAAAACATATGACAACAAAAGCGTTATTTTGATAGAAAATAGTACAAAAGGTTTTGCAAAAAAGAAGTCTTCTACCATTTTTGTGAAAACAGAAACAATTCTCAGTCTGTGCAAGTCACAAGGAAATCAAACAATAGCAATAATCAGTTGTGACGATAAATTCACAAGGAGACATAGAAACTTGGCGTATTTTGAAACATCTGAGTACATCAACAGAGAATTCAATGACAGCAAACACACTGTTTTATTGTCTTCAAAAACTGAATCTACACGTGTTGATTTTAACCAAATTTGCGAAAAAAGTGACTAAACCAACGTGTACTTTTTTCAAACTTTCGATGATGAAAATTGCGTTTTGCTTTTAAAGCAAGGGAACCAACTACCAGAAGAGTTTGTAAATAAAAGGAGGCTTACACCAGAAGACGACATTCTTCGTTGTCTTGACAACTCATTAAACGTAATTTGTGCTCCAGCTGGAAAGGGTAAATCGAGATTAATGGACGTTTTATGTAACGACTGCCCTCCAGATCACTGGGGGATTTACATCAATCTGATCAACCATAATTCGTTCCTGGCGAAGAAACCAAACTTGGAAACAATCTGGAATTACCTACTAGAAACAGACGACAACGTTGTTAAAAAAATGTTGCCCATTTTACGCAACAACCGAAAACTATATTTGTATTTTGACGGGCTAGACGAAGTCGACAGCACTTACGTAAATAGTGTCTTGGACTGCGTCCAAGACGCATCTTCAAATGGTACGAAGATATGGATTTCGTCAAGGGAGAATCTGCGTGATAGAATAACGCAATCACTAAACGTAATACCTATAGAAATAACAGAACTGAATAAAAGTCAACGTGAAGAGTACATTTGCGAAAAACTGAAACGGAAGTACGGAAACGAAGACATAGAAAGAATTATGGGCTCAATTCTTGACAATGTAGATCTTAACAAAAGTCAAGAATTATTAGGAATTCCGTTACAGTTGCATATAATTACGGAAATGTTTCTGACCAACGACGAAACTGACAACGTCGAGCAAAAGAACATGTTTGTGTTGACGTATATGTATAAATTGTACTTTGAGGGAAAAGTGAAGTTTGCTTTAAGTAAAGTCGTCGACGAACACCACACACATCAATTTGGAAATTTTAAAGTTCTCTTAAAGAATTATGAAATTCCTGCTTTGAAGGCATGCTTAAACAGGGAGGATTTTGTCAAACTGGGTCTACTTTCAGAAGAAATGGAAGATTTTGTCACTGAAATTAAGCGCAGTGGCGATAAATATGGAATAATAGAGATAATAAATGACAATGGGGATGCTATATTTAGCCATCAGACGTACGCAGAATATTGTGCGTGTGTTTGGTTACAAAGAAATAAAGAAAAAGCTGCTTTGTTTCAGAAGGAGATGCTTCTTGAAAGATATGAAAATCTACGACTTATGTTTGACATAATGTTGGCCCAGAGCGACCCTCTACATCTATCCGTTATCTACAGAAACTTAGACGAATTTGAAAAAAACGTCGACGATATAGAAGCTAAAGATCATGGTGGTCGAACTGTACTCCATCTGTTGTGTACATACGGCAAGAAATATCCCATTGATTACATAAAAAGTTACTGGTACAGGAATGAACTGGTGAAACTGAACCAATAATTTAAGTGGTACACAACCATGGTGGCAAAGGTACTTCAACTATACTCCAAAATCCACGACCAAGACGATTTATTCCACTTTGATTGCTTAAGTTACTCCCTTGAAGCAAAATGTTTGTATCCGATAGAGGCAATGCTAGAAAAAAATCTTCTAGATTTTGACGATGTTAAAAAAACGGTTTTTGGCTATTATAAAATCGAAACGTTGGTTTATTATGCAGCACACATGGGTTACCCGAATTTATTTTCTGCACTGGTTGCACATAACACACAACTTGTTCATCTGAAAGTAGACAACGACAATTTATTAGAAATAGCCGTCAAAGGAACAGATGACAGTGTAGCGTCTCCAAGAGAAGGTAACATCGCTGTTGGCAATATAATACTAGAAAATGGTTTCGATTTAACCAAAGATGGTTATGACACACCTCTTGGTGATATTTTGGACGTAGCATGCGATGAGGGTAAGTACGATATGTTGAACATATGAACACAAAACGGAGCCAAGTACACTGGTGGCAACACCGTCTGGCATCGACTGGCAAAACTAGGACCGAAGAGTGACAATACACTATATATTTTAGAAAACTATAAAATTGACTTGGATGTGAATCTTAAAAACGACGAAGGTCTAACTGCGCTTCAAATTGCGGCTCAATTTCGTGTTTTCGGAGTAGTAGAAATATTGATGAAGAGAGGAGCTGAAGCAGATATTGTGGACCCACGTGGCAACAACCCTCTGCATTTTGCATCAATGTTGTGGATAGATAATCGAACTATAATAAAACTGTTCATTGATAAAGGTGTGGATGTTAATGTTCAAAATGAAAATGGGTTGACGCCTCTACATCTAGCTTGGAAGCAATGCAATTTTTGGAATACGGAAGTGCTCTTAGAGTGTAACGCTTGCGTAGATGCATTAGACGAAGACAACAACAGTGCGCTACACTATATAAATAAATATAAATATAAATAGTTTATTAACGGAAAAGAAACTCCAATTACATAAAACAAGAAAGCAATTCATTAAATAACTTATAACTAAAAATTTAAGATGTACATGAAATAAAACTAAAACTAAAACTGGATATAACATTCTTTGATGTAGATATTAGCACACCACAAAACCTAATGTCGATAATAAAATAATTTGATTCTTAAAACCAATTTAGAAGACCTAAATAAATAATTTTTTTACGGTTGATGTAACCATTAGTAGCATCAGTAATACTTCTTAATAATAATAATAATCTATATTCACGGGCAAGTAAGTATCCCATTTACAATAATAATGATACAGATTACATTTACAGTAACTTTAAGAACACAGTAAATGATGGACACGATTTTTAAAAACAGCATAAGATTGACAATTAAAAAAATCCAATGAATCAGAGAACTCATTGCAAGTACGGAGTGCTGTGTTCAATGGAGAATTTAAAGTATAGTTTCTCCTACAGCTTTCTATACTAAACGATGGACTTCTCCTCACAGCAAACTGCGGAACATAAAAAAATAGGGAATGCAGAATTTCGTTACAGTCCAAAAGATTGTTCATGACTCTAAAAACAAAGCAAAGTTGAAAGTATTTTCGTCTAGTACATAATGTTGTCATTCCAAGATAGCTCAAACTTAAATTGTAATTGAAGTCTATTTGTAGATTGTTAGGCAATTTATGCTTAACACAATTAAGAAATTTTCGTTGTATCGCCTCTAATCTGTCGATATGGATTTTATATTGAGGTGACCAAAGTATACATCCATACTCCGTTACCGATCTAACTAGTGTAACATACAAAGTTTTTATTGTTTGTAAATTTTTGAATTCACTACCGTATCTTGTTACACACCCTAAGATTTTATTAGCTCTACACACAATTTTTTCGTAATGTGGTATAAATGTCAACTTCGAGTCCAAAGTGATACCTAAGTCTCTAACTTCAGAAACAAAGTTAAGTATTTGGCCATTTAAAATGTATTTAACCTTGCATGATACAATTTTCCTACTAAAGTTTATTGCGTGACATTTATCTTCATTTAGAAACATATTGTTAGAAACACACCACTCTTCCAGATGACCAAGATCTCGTTGTAGAGTTGTAACGTCATTTCTAGAATTTATGATTCTAAAAATTTTTAAATCATCAGGGAATAGACGATAAGGACTTTCAAATTTGTATCCTATGTCATTAACAAATATCAAAAATAATAGGGGCCCCAGAATTGACCCTTGAGGAACTCCCGAGGTTACATTCACCATATGTGACAGACAATTGGCTATCTTAACCTGTTGCGATCTATTGGAAATATATGAGATAAACCATGTAAGTAGGGACCCTGATACACCATACTCTTCCAATTTATGAATAAGGATGGAATGGTTGACTTTATCAAATGCTTTAGAAAAGTCCATATATATTGAGTGAACCTCGGAACCTCTACCTAACGCTGTTAAAATGAGGTTGACGTAGCTGAATAAGTTAGTAACTGTTGAACGTTGTTTATAAAAACCATGCTGTTCAGGAATAATTAAAGAATTAAAGATAGGTGTTAGTTTTGTGATCAAGCAAGATTCAAATATTTTACTTACAGAAGATAAAATAGTTATTGGACGATAATTGTCAACTTTGCTGGTAGCACCTGATTTGAAAATAGGTATGATAAAAGTGTGCTTCCATTTACTAGGAAAAATACCCTGATTTAAAGATTTGCTAAACAGTAACTGTAATGGCCAAGCTATAATTGATTGAGTCTTTTTGTAGAATAATGGAGGTATTCCGTCCGGACCGGGCCCCTTGTTTGTATTAAGAGCACTTAAACAACGATCAACATCTTCCACACTGATGTCAATAAAATTTGTATTAATTTTAATTTCAGAATGAAAGTTTGAATTGGGACAACTAGCTTTATTATATATGGATGAGAAATAAACAGCAAAAGCATCAACAACCTGTTGTAAATCTGACAAAAGTGTATCATTATAAGTCACAGGAAGTGTGATGGATGCCTTAGAAGATTTATTTCGAATAAATTGCCAAAAATTTTTTGGATTAATTAATAAGTCACGTTCAATATGACATAGGTACCTATCATACGCCTCAGAAATTTTGTATTTACACTGTTTGCGTAAATTAGAGAATTCTAAGTAATCTTCGATACTTCGCGTGTTTTTATACCGCTTATGAGCAATCTTTTTATGTCTTAATAGCTCTATTAGTTCGCTGTTAAACCAGGATGGGAAGGTTGAGGAACGTTTACATCTAAGTGGAACATACATATCAATGGCGACATACATAAGTTCATAAAATTTACAAATTGATTCATCAAGCAATTCGCAGTTGAAAAGATCTGCCCATTTGATATTTTTGAAATATTCAACAATACTATCATATCTGGCATTTTTAAAATCATAATACCACACTTTATCATTAAAGATGGCGCTATTATCTAAGATGCTGATATTAACACTAAAAGTGGGATGGCATATATCAAGTTTAGTTAAATTTTCACAGCATTTAACTTCAACATTGTCACAATTAACAAAACAAAGATCTAAAATATGATTATGTAAATTCCTAATATTATTTAATTGGTCAAAACAAAGACTGAAATAGCTGTCACAAAGATATATCTCACTTTGGAGAGTTAACCTATGCGGAATCAGACCAGGTGAGTTTTCAGATGTTATCCAGCTAATATTTGGTAGATTAAAATCACCGAGCACCACGATGTCACAATCTTTGTGCTTCTCACATATAGATTTAAGGGTATGAATGTGATTAGTATACCTACAAATTTCACTTCGTGGAGGTATGTAAACGCATCCCAGTATTAGATCACGCACTCCCGTAAGCACTTTTACCCACACTTCTTCGACTGATGATATAGGAGAGGTTAACTGGATACACTTATATTTAGCGCTTACCGCTAAGATTACACCGCCTCCTAATTCCTTTGTGCTGTTAAGACTACTCCTATCGGTTCTAAATATCAAGTATCTAGGATATAAAATTTCGTTATTGTGAAAATCAGATGATAACCAGGTTTCTGTTAAAGCTATAGCGTCATACTCATTTGCTAATGCCCCACAGTTAAAGTCCTTTATTTTACTGCGTAAGCTGCGTACATTTTGGTAATACACAGAGAACGTACCATCCTCTAATTTGCTGGGCTTATCGATTTTTCTTTCTTTTCTTTTAGGTCTAGTCTCTCTCCTTTTTTCGCTAAAAAATAAAATTTTTTGACAATAACGTTCTCTGGCCAAGCACTAGCATCCATTAAATTCTTGACAATACTACTATCCACGGTGACCTTGTATGCAATGCTCTTGGCATTCTCCCTTTTTGGTAATGATTCAACTTTGAAATTGTCACAACAAAGTTTGTTCTCTAAATAAGTAGACAAATCAGTCTCCGAAGTACCAACATCAAGATTTCCAACATAAATATAACTACTACGGGGTGCAGCTTTGATTACCAAGTTTGAACTGTGTATCGACCCTCGAATAATATTTCTTTTTTTCTTATATGAGACTGGTACAAAATCATCGTCCGCTTTAAGGGCATTAGCTTCAACAGTTATTCTAGAAGCTGGGACATAGGGAGTGGTTGCTGTATCTAACTGCTTACTCGATTTTGATGCAAGTTTGGCAGCTTGTATATTGGATGAAGACAAAGAATTTTTAGGGAGCCCGAAATTAAAATTATTAAAAGAGTTAGAATTAACCATCTTTTTTGCAATGGTTCCACAGTTATTGTTCTGAACGTTGTTGAATTCAATGACCTCCGAAAAAGACTTAGGAAAAACAGTTGCAGGTGCGCTCACCTCCTGATTGTGTTTTTTCAGACTTTTTATTTCGTCTCTGAGATTTTTATTCATAGATAACAATATTTTCACATCTTCTTTTAATCCATTGACTGAATCAATTAAACTATGCACAAGTAGCATAATATCATCACGATTGCAATTGCTAGTATCATTTTCACTTTCAAAACGAAACCTTTTGGGGATAGCTCTTTGGGAAGCATCAACACAATGATTACATTTCCAAATCGATCTCTTCATGTGGAATCCCCTCAGATCAATGTTCACACACTTATTATGATAAGAGTTCAAACACATGGTACACTGAACTACACATTTTGCATCATCAATGTTTGTAGAGCACGCGAAACAAGAAACAACGTCCGTACTCATCGCGCTCCGACGTCGAACACTATGCATCTTTGTCAACTAGTGACAAATTAAATATAACAAAGCTATTGATTCATAAAGGTGTTAATGTCAATGTTCAAAACAGAAATGGAACAACGGCGTTACAGCTTGCTTGCGAGAATGGTAATTCTGGTATAGCAAAAATGTTGTTAGAGAATGACAGTGACATAAATCTTGTGGTTAACGATTGTAATAACGCACTACATTATGTATTCAAGTCACGACAGAACCGTCACCATCTAATAAAATTACTGATTGACAAAGGCATCTATGTAAATAGTCAAAACAAAAATGGGACTTCACCATTACAACTTGCGTCCAAATTTGGCGACTACGAAGCTGTAAAGGAACTGTTAGATTGTAATGCTTCCATAGATGTCGTCGACAACGTCAATGACAACTCATTGCATTACGCCTTGTCTTGGAAATGCAACACAGACGTAATAAAATTATTGATTAATAGAGGCATTGATGTGAATGCTCAAAACACAAACGGAACGACCGCGTTACACCTTACATGCGAAAATAGTAACTATGAAGTTGCACAAAAACTGGTGGAAAACCACGCTTGTGTCAAAATTTTGGACGACGACAACAACACTGCCTTACATTATATGTCAAAATCGTGGAAAAATAATCAAAATATCGTAAGGTTATTGATTGGTGAAGGCCTTGATATAAATAGTAGAAACAGTCATGGAACAACAGCTCTACAAGTTGCTTGTCGAAACTGCAATTATCACATTGCTGGATATTTATTAAACTACGGTACGTCTGTCAATCTTTTGGACAACAACTACAACAATGCTTTACACTACGCATCAAAGTCCGAGCACTACAACGCAGATATAATAAAATTATTAGCCGAGAAATTTCTGAGTGTCGATTCTCAAAATAAAAACGGGACGACAGCTTTGCAGCTAGCGTGTCAACAGAATAATTACACAAATGCGGAAAAGTTGCTCCAGTGTGGTGCTTGCGTAGATTTGGTGGATGACAAGGGCAACAACTCGTTGCATCATGTGGCGAAATCGCGGCGGGATAGTGTGAATGTAGTAGAATTGTTGATTCAGGCGGGCGTTGACGTAAATGCCCGAAATAAAAATGGTGTGGCAGCTTTACAATTTGCGTGCGAAAGTTGTAGTTATGAAATTGCCAAGAATGAGTGTGACAACAATGCGATTATGCACTGAGCTCAGTTGAACCGAGTTTGAGTTCCGAAAGGTGTGTTTTTTGACTATGTCTATTTTTCTTTGTGTAATAGTCAAGCAGCTCTTAAAATCTACTGTAACGCGATAAGGTTTCGTTAAAAGTTTTGTTGCACAGTACACAGACAGAACCACAAAAATCTTATTAACATAATCGCATCACTGCTGTTTCTATACAATTAATTTTTTGAAATATGTTAACTAATGAATGGTTAAGGTTCGAAAGAATTTCAAAATACTAAATTATGTTTCACGGTAGTATTCATATTCAAAACTAAATGAGATTTATGTAAGTACATTGACGATTCAAGACAAAAAAAATCTCTTTTTTGTTTCCGGATCAAAACCAATTCAAGTTTAGTCTTATCAAATGGAAAAAAATGGGCAGAAGTTGAAATGAATCAGAAAGTGCCTTTTTTCCAAAAGGTTGCGACAATGCATCAACTTTATAGAAAATAGAAAAAGCAAGTAGAATAAAAAGAACTTACTGATAATTTTGTACACCATATATAAATGACAAAGACACAGTTATATATTTTTCTTTGTCATTATTGGAATGCTATCAACGTATGTGTTTCGATAAATACAACGTCAAGTTTTCAGGTGCATTAACAACAAATAATCGCCAGTATTGTATGCACCTGACATGCTGAAAATGTCTAATGTCACATTGTTTTTAATTTTATTGATTGACTCGAATCTGGTTCTTGGTAAGTTTAATTAAACCATTTTTGTTTGGTTTTTCATTTCTGTTAGGTACATGATAGTAAGTAGTATTTTGAAAATTTTCAGCCGTCACAAAATGTGGAGAAAATCAAATATGGAGTAGCTGTGGCACAGCATGTCCGGCAACATGTACCGAGGGTTCAAAGCCGTGTACAGCGGTATGTGTAGAGGGTTGTCAGTGTAAAGCAGGATTTTTATTAAATGATAAAAATTCCTGCGTACCTCCATCCGATTGTTGAAAACATTGTTTAAATAAATGTTTCCATCCCGAAAAGTATTTTTACTTCCCTGATATTGCATGGTAGGTACAATCTGGGATTGTAAACAATCTCTCAACCAACTGCAAGCAAAAACAGAGTTACTCTGAGCTTGAGCTCCCTTCATTGACCCAGAACCTTATTGTGGGCTAACGACAGCCCACTTGGCTTCTGAAATCTATGAGTGGGGAAAAAAGGAAAACGAATCCCACTGGAAGCAAGTTCCAGGCCAACAGAACTTACAGGAAAATTTTTTAAACACTCGTAAATTTCAGTATCTATCTTTTACTAAGTAGATTTACTCAAGATGATTTCTAACATATATTTTCAAATATTCGATCTCGAAATCCAGTTCCTAACGAAAATTCACTTAAAATCAGCTGTTTAGTAATCACTAATCACCAGTTGAAGGGAACAAAAGAGTAGAAGTAGATATAAATTAGAAACCACTTTCCACAAGGCTGTGCGCTTTAATCAAATAGGTAAATAGAACAAAAACATTGTTGATAATGACGTACACCATAGACCTACAATGACAAAAACACAAGTATATATTCAGGCATTGCAGGAAAATTTATGTATTTATCCGAATTTAAAAAATTCTGTTTATTTAACGCCCATTTATTACTACCTAAAATGCCTAATTTACCGTCAGACACCTAAAGTGTTAATTAAACGACCTAATTGTAATGTTATGAACTCCTGTCTTTAGTTGTCTCAGAAAAACCCAGATTCCAATATCACCATTTATTAACAAAATCTTCTTAAAGGTATTATAATAAGTGTGCTAAAATACGGGATAACTGAAAGGAACCGAACGGACTGTATCGAATTGTCTAATTTTCAATTGTGTCTAGAATGATGTGTTGCTAGCATTTTATGTACTCGGTTTACAAAGAAAATGATTACAGATAAATAAATACAAATAGAACTTTATACCGAGCACGGGATGCACGAAGCGGGTTAAAGACATGATAATATAATCTAATTGTACATATTTAAGTCTAAACTGCATGAATCGAAATGGAAAAATACACAAATTGTGGGATAGGTACATAACACTCTTCCCCTCTTTTAAAATGAACGTCAGTGACAAAATTATTACAAAAATAGATTGAAACATTATCAAAAGGGAAAGTTAACAAATATATAGGTACAAATTTACATACGAAGGATTACTTGGAAAGATTCTCGCGACTCAATGATTTCCGAGATCGTAGATTATACGGATTGGAAACCGCTGGTGTTTCCTCGACAGTTTCTAAAGTAGACGTCTCATTGGATGACGATTTTGACAGAACTTTCAGTGGCAACATGATATCATCATCATCGGTGGTGTTGTTGCGACGAGACTCAGGAACGCAAATCACACTGTTGGTTATGTGATTCTTGCTGTTGTAACAGTACTCGATGAAACAACTCGAGCGCTTGGGAATGAGTTTACCAATATACGGCAACCAGGTACAGTCAAAACAGTACCTACAACAACAACAACAAGAGATGAGTAGAACAGTTATAACAGTTATAACGCCAATTAGGGAACCCCAAAAAGTCCGATGTCCCCATGGGAATGGTTTGTTTATTTCGGCACGAAGCTCTTCTTCAAACTTGTCAAGTTGGTGCTTGCTGTGACGAAGTTCATCCAAATTCAGATTATTTAATTCCAGAGGTTTCATCTCGACTGCTTTCAAAATTTGTTGTTCCTTGATACAACAGTCATCGCTACTAATGTCAACTGAAGGAATAAAGTTCGTAAAATTCTTAGTCACGTTGTAACTTGCGATGAGGCTGGTTGACATTGTGTAACATTTACATTTGGGTCGGAGTGTGAAAATACCAGTTCCTTGAAAATTAATATCGATAATCTGATCATCCTTCGGGTCGCAGGAAATCGTGGCTGGGGTGACGGACGAAAGAACATACAACCATTGATTGGACCGTAGTGTATGCCAAATTTCGACTTCGGCTTTCATTGTTTTCGTAGAACAATCGTCTGGAATAAAGTTAAGATTTTCCGTTCGCAGGCGAACATCACAGACAGGACGTTGAGAAGTCAAGTAGATAACGGGTTGTGGACACATCCACTCGGATTCAGACAATTTAAGGCATGCAGAAATATCCTTCAAATGACCATAATGCGTCTTGGTAACACTCATTAATAAATAGGTGTTTTGTGGATCAATATAGGAAAATATGTTTTTTTCTACCGTAGGAATAGGAAGAGGAATTAATTTGTAAAGTATAAAAGTCTGTTCGTGAACCAGAGGAATTTGAATTACAAATATTAAGTTGTCACCATCAAATAAGACTGAAACTTGACAAAGTGAAAAATATTTATATAAAGATCTATAGTCATCAATTGGAATAGGAAATTGCAAAGACGATCTCAATGTAATCGATGCGAGTTGTGTTTGAAGTTCTTTCGGGTTAATAATAGACGGATGTAAAACGTTTTGCTTAGCAAACAGGATTGAAGATATTAGTACATCATATTCTTCATTCAATTCAGTTATAAGCTGTGTCAATAAATTTAAATGTGTAATAATGTCTTCGACAACCGCTACTTGGTTTAGTTTTTTAGAAACAACTTTGCTAAAATTATTAAAGCGATTGATATTTTCATTTAATCTCATTTCATAATTTTTAAAGGAATTTACTGAGTTATTATAATTTGTTATAGCTGAGGAAATAATATGAATTTGTTTTTGCATTAGTAACTGGGTGTCTTATTAATCTTCATTTGGAGTTTCTGGGAAAAAAAGTTTCAATAAGTTTTTATGATAAGTGACATTTCTGTTTTTTATTCTTACTACTATGGTTTGGTTAGGATAAATTTTTAAAATTTTATATGGACCTCTAAAATTAGGAGCGAGTTTCTTATTAATTCCAGGCTTAGAAGACTTATCTAGAACGTAAACGAGATCTCCAACTTTATATTCCTGATTATTGACCTTTTTATCATAATAAGTTTTCGAATTAAATTTGCTTTTAATAATGTTTTGTTTAGCGATTTCAAAAGATTTATTTAATCGTAATTTAAGCTGTAAATGGTAATCATCATAAGTATATCGCAAATCAGGTAAGGAAGTTAATGATTGTGGGATAATTGCTTTGTGTCCAAAAATTAATTCGTAAGGTGTAAATTTTGTGGTTGAATGAATAGTTGTATTATAACAAAATATTGCAGGTAATGTAAATGTATCCCAATTATTTTGAGTTTCTTTAATATAGTGCTTTAAATAGTCTTTCAGATTTGAATGAAATCTTTCGAGAGAACCATTAGATTGCGGATGGTATACGGACGTAGTTATGTGTCGAATTTTAAAAAGTTTATTTACTTCTGAAATCAATTTTGATGTAAAATCAGTACCATTGTCAGTTAGAATGCATTTAGGAATACCAAACAGCATAATAAATCGAAATAATTCTTCAGCAATTGTTTGTGATTCATGGTCTGGGATAGGTTGCGCATAAGCAAATTTTGTTAGATCATCCTGAAACGTTAAAATGAACCTGTTGTTATCTTCGGTAATGGGCAAAGGACCTACGATATCAAGAGAAAGTTTTTCAAAAGGTTGGTTTGAGGTCGACGTAATTTCCATAGGTGCTTTCGTAGGATGTCTGTTAGTTTTATTCTTTTGGCATAATTCACACGCTTTAATAAATCGTTTTATTTCCTTTTTCATTCCTTGCCATTTGTACAATTCTCGGATTCTTTTGTAGGTTTTGAAAAATCCCGTATGACCTGACGCAGCAGTTGCATGATTTTCCTCTAATATATGTTGGATTTCATCTTTTGAGGGAGTAATTTTTTCATTATTAACGAGGACGACTTTAATGTCTGTGCAATTGAATATAAAATGTATTAATTCATTTATCATATCAGATTTAAATTTCTTATTATAACACAATGGATTTTTGAAGTGAATCTTTTGGACGTTATCTTTTAATAATTGTTTTTTCAGATTAAGTAAGGAATAAAATAATTCTTTATATGAGGGA